TCCATATAAACACATTTAAATGTGAAAATCGTGGCTATATTTCAAAATATGCACAATGGAAGGAGTTTAACAGTTTAAGAGTTGACAGAGTTTAACAATTCCATTTTGCATGATATTTGGGAATATAACTTTGATCTTTATATCAAAATGTGTTTACATTCCATAGATTTTCGCATTTAAATGTAAAAATCATGGTTATATACCCAACTATCATGAAAAAATGGAACTGTCAAACTGTTAACTGTTAAACTCATTAACCTGATAAAGCCTAAGCATTTGCTACCAAAATTGAGAGCTGTCAGTAGGTTGGTCTACAGACTGCAGGAAACACTACAGTAGAATCATGCCCTGTTTGTGGGTTACCAATTGAAATTTGAAATTACTCCACCCCGGTCAATTTCAAGGGTGTGCAAATAATCAGCAAACCTATGTGAAGAAAAAAGTGTCGTCAGGTGCAGGCAAATAAGGGAAAACTGCACGTTCCGTAACACTGCTATCTAAATTCTTCTTGGTTTGATTGGTGAGGACATACATCTACAAGTAAAAAGGAAAGAATAACTAGATTATTAAATATTTTCTTTTCAAAATAAAATGCAAATGTAAGGTAAAATCAATCTAAAAACCTTGTAAAGTGTTGGTCCTGCTAGTACTGGTGCTAAAATAGCCAGCAATTCTATTAAAAGTGACAGAAGTCTTATGAGGTTTAGGGGTAGAGTGGAAAATAGCATTCACTGTTAGTTTAAGTTCCATCACTCATCACACTACCAACTGAATTTTCCTTATTTTGATTGCTGAGAACATCTGCAAGTAACAATGAATACCCATAGATTAGTAAATATTTCCTTTAAAAATAAAACTTTAATTAGTTAAAATCAATTTTAAAACCTTGTTTTTTGATGGCCTTGCCAGTACTGGTTCTAGAATAGTCAGCAGTTCTATCAAAAGTCACAGAAGTCTCTTCAGAAGGGAGTACTACACGTCCCGTAACACTGCCATCTAAATCCTTCTTGGTTTGATTGGTGAAGACATCTACATGTAAAAAGGAAAGAATAACTAGATTATTAAATATTTTCTTTCTAAAATAAAATGCAAATGTAAGGTAAAATCAATCTAAAAACCTTGTAAAGTGTTGGTCCAGCTAGTACTGGTGCTAAAATAGTCAGCAATTCTATTAAAAGTGACAGAAGTCTTATGAGGCTACTCTTTCTGATAAATATCAGTGACATGGGATACCTACAGCTAAATGGAAAATGGCAACTATTTGCAGACGACACTGGCATCATAATCGAAGCCACTAATTATCAACAACTAAAGCAAGCTATGATGAAAGACCTTTCAAGAGAAGTAGTTCGGAAGCATCTGGAGGGTCCCCTGCTGTCTGGAAGGCCCCCCTTA